GTGTGTGTGTGTGTGTGTGTGTGTGTGTGTGTGTGTGTGTGTGTGTGCGTGTAGTTCATTTTGAAACTCTCCTTCATTTGGCAAAAAATATTCCCAGCTGCAACTGTTCTGTTTCTCTCCAGGCCACACACTAGCTGAGCAAGTGGCATTTGTTGTGTGGGTGTGTAGGAAGATTTTTCTTTTTCCCAGCATTGCCAGAGCGACGGAGGACACGTGAAAACCGCAGTCTGAATATGATCAAATCAGGGTTTCAAGAGCCTGCATTTCATAATTCAAGCTCCCTCTAGCCTGTGATCTCAGGTTTGAAGCAAAGAACATAATATTTTGGAGAATAATCTGGTCCTGCCCTGCACTGAAGAAGCATTTCTAGTTTCAATTTGAGCCCATCACTTGATTAGCAAAGGCGGATAATAGGGCTCAGTAGTGCTCTCGATAAGAGCTCTCACCAAGCAAGGGAGCAAGTGATGCAATCTCACAATGCTCTCGCTCGCCTGAAAGGACGGAAAACATTTAACTTCTCCTGAATTCAGTCTGTCTTGTCATTATTCCACCTGACGGCCAATTCCATGCATTCACACAGAGATGACCAACTGTGCTCTTGTGTAACCTAACTATTCAAATCCCCCCTCCCCTCCACACCCCGTCAAGTGTATGAAACCAACCTGATAGCACCCCGCCCCACCCTGCTCGAATTGCGCTTTCCACCTCGGAGAATATCATATGTAGACCTTTCAGCGGCTCACTAGTGAAGACAAATTGCCAGCTTGTTTGGTGGTGCCTCCAGAGAGTGATTCATATTAATGGCTAGCTGGCAGTGGAGAGCGTGCTGCATATGCAAACTCCATTAGCAGGTTAGGCTGGAGAGTATGACCTGGCAGTGCCACCGTGAGCTGCACACACAGGAGGGCAGGCTGCCGAGCGGAGGCTAAGGGGGGCTGCGTATAGAAAGAGCTGCAGGTGCAGGGGCAGGGGTCTACGGTGTGTGTCGTGCAGTTAGTCTGGTGTGTTACTTCATCAATATATCAGGTTGACGTTTCTATTAAGACATTTATTATGATAATTTATTCCTATTTATTGCAGAATTGGTTAGTGTTACATATGTAAAGCCTTTAAGTTTCATGGTGTTTCAGAGTTCATTATCATTTACATTAAACTGTTCTAATGAAGCATTTAACACAATCCACCTAAATTGAAACAATGGACATCTTTGATGATTAGAACTTTTCATAGTTTTCAAGTTTTCAAGGATTTAATAAATAGCTTGACAGCCACCATTTTTGTAAAAACATTGAATTTTGATTATTTCTTTACCAGAGGACCCTTCTTGACCACAGTGAGCAGAAAAGTGAAGGTCTAATTCATTGACATATTAATTCATAGTTCATATTCATGACTTTTTCCCTTGAAGGCTTGTTAAGAGCCTGTGAAAGTTAAACAGAGTGCTAATATCCAGCAGGTGGAGCAGTTAGCAGTTAAAGGTTAAAAGTCATATATTTTGGCACACTGCATCTGCAACTGGCTGCTAATATTAATCAAGATTAATTGTGTTGGATAAACTAAACAACTTAGATTTTCTTGCAGCAGGTCAATCTTCAATTGTTAAGTTTTCCACGAAGTGGCACTCGAGGAAAGGCCACGTAGCTGTTTAAATCAGAAGGTGTTTATCCCATTGGGAGCATGACTGTGCTTTAGCAAAATCATGAAGATCTTATTGCAAGATTCCTGGTGTGCAAAGTTGTTTTGGGCCTGAGGGTGGCAAAGAGTTTTACATCCGAGGAGAAGGAGTGTGCTCACTAAATCTCATGGCAGCCTGCCTTTTAGATTTTAATATCTCACTTCTCCATTCGGACTGATAGTGACACCAGAGGACTCACTATAGCACTCAATATTGAAGCGGCATAGGCTGGTTGACCAACTCCAACCTACAGTAGGAGTCAAGATACTGTGACAACTGATGCAAAAACAATCACTAAATCAAAAACATGCTGGAAAATTACAGATGACAACAGAGATGGTTTCCTGGAGGAAGATACATATTTATGTTTTTGCTCATAACTGGTTACACACAGTTGTCGATTTTTATCAAAACTGCTGCTGGCTTGCTGTCTATTCCATCATTTTCCCGGGTAAACTCTCATATATATCATTTCAATGATTTAAACATATGAACGTCCAGCCCACTCTACTACCAAGTCATCAAAAACGGCGGCTTGGTCAGGTGACGTAGTATAAAGAGCAATAAAGTCTGTATAGTAATGAAGCAGCGGGGATGGATGGGTAGAAATACATTAGACTCTCAGCCAGAAAACCAGTGTCTATGTCCTGTGTGAAAGCAACGTTGATTTATTTTAAGTTACATTAATTTACTTGACTTACGTTGCTACATAGCTACTACATAGCAAACATACTTATTCTAACTCAAACTATGATGTTGCCCTAAACCTAACCAAGGTGTTTCCTATAAACTCTGAAGTTTATTTTGAAAAGACAGCGTATACACGTAACGGCTGTGAATTGACTTGACGCTAGATGGGATTGTAGAGAGTCGTAGTTTGAAGCTGCTGTGTTTGACGAGATGAGAAGGAGAATGTGTTGGAACGTCACAGAGCTTGTGAAAATAAGATGTTAACACCAGCGGGTGACGTCAATCTTTTCATTGTGTCAGAACCACTTAATCAACATTTCACGTCCTCTGCTGCTTATCTCAATGGCAGGTTGTAGCTACAGGTTGTGAGCAGTAATTAGGCTGCCACACAAAACTGAAGTGTTTCTCTCAGCACTCAGAATACAAATCTAAATTGGATCTTTAAGTCATTTTTTAACTTTGGTTACCTTACAATTGTTGAAAGCTGAACTTAAATAGATTCGATAGGGGAATGCTATACAGGATTTAGATTCGATACGACGCTATCAAACCCCAACCCCATATACGTTTAACTGATATTGGCAGCATGATATATGTATTATTAGATGCATGATTTGCCCATCGTCGGGTACATTTGTCACTTTATTTCAGTGGCTAACTCCACCTACGTCAAGCCTCCGCACCACAGCACGGATAATGAGTGCAGCCATTATCAGCTTTCAGAAACCCACGTTGTCACACTGAGTGCTGCTCTGCAATGGGATTAGCATGTGAAGACAGGTGCTCTCACAATTAGAACTCGCTCTCCACACCCAAGATACTTGCACAGAGATGTGGCCAGACAGAGCTTGGCCAGTGGCCGAGAAGCAGCCTGGCCCTCTATCCCCCCCCCCCTCTTCTCTCCAGCCTGATCAATCCTCCTTATAAATTTCTCATTTTCATTTATCTTCCAGGATGCGCTTTCCTCCCATTTTAGGTCTTACAACAAATACCTCTGGATACATCCTCTCTTCTGCTGCCAAAGCCTCCCTATCCCTGTCCCCTCCAAAACCAAACAAAGCACAAAAAAAAAACAAAAAAACAGCAGCAGCAGCATCACTTGTGATTAACTTCTGCAGTAAAAAATCTCCTCGGCAACAGCTTATTGAGAATATGCTGTGGAATACAAAAATCTGCATTTCTTTTTTTTTTATAAGTGTATGCATAAAAGCAAAACACTAACCTAAGTGTGCTGTCAGGGTAGATTACAGCACGATGGGAATGCGTGCATGAAATGTGACGCAGCTGCCCAGGGCTGCTGGACGGAGGAGGCGGAGGAGCGAGAGAGATAAAGACACAGCAAGTGATGAGAGAAAGCGAGAGAAATCAAGAGATCCAGTCACAGGTTGACCTTCGTCCTCGTGTACCTGACGATGAGGATATGCAGTCTCTCCTGCTCTCTATCCATCCTGTCATCTCTTGTTTTTTGTTGTCGTTTCTTTTCCCCCTACTAATGGCTTTCAAACATTCATATTGATTCTTCCTTTCTAATGGCACGAAAATGTAAAAGATCAAGTGAACCCTCGGTCAGATTGCGAACGCTTGCTGGCTTTGTGCATCCCTGAATCAGATGAGAGTTGATCACAGAGCAAAGCCTCAGTCAGCACTGCGGCATTGGCAGCTCTGAGGCATTGGATGCATGTTGCACTGTGAGAGGAGCCTACAGAGGACCAGATGACACCATATTGGAGGCTTTAAAAATGTAACATGTTTTGTGTTCATTTAAATCCCTCGCAAAGTCAGGGAGAGGTCATGGACTGTTGTCGGCTAAAATGATTTTTCTCACACGGATACCTAAAATGTCTGATCTCTTGTTTGAGCAAGTGCACAGAATAGTTTCAAATGATTTATTTATGGGAGGAGATCCTGAAATGGTGAGTATTCCTAGTAAGATACCGGTGAATTTAAGATGGTCTGAGAGGAATTCACGTTTACAATTCCTTGTAAAATGCAGAGTACTAAGATAAGTTTGGTATGCACTTCTTCAATACTAATGAGGTATCGGCAGTGCAGAGCTAAGCTGGCATCTTTTATCCATCTTCTTTTATTTATTGGTGCAGCGCAAACAACAGAGCAAAGTTAGAGGTGGGTTACAGACAATGAAGAAACAACCATGTTCAGAACACTTTGTAGTAGTTTGTGCCTCTGTTTATTTACTCTCTTTACAATATTATTTTAAAGAAGTGGGACCCAGAAGTTTGGTTTCACTGATTTGTTCCAATTGCACGTTAAATTGTGAATTATAAATAGTGATTTCAAGCCACAGAAAGCAGTTTAGCATCTGTTTTCTACACACAGAGTATTGATGCAGACTTTAAAGCCTGGGAGCTGGCCTCACGTATCACTACCAGCTTGCGTTGCCCACACTGAAAGATGGCGGCGTGATGCTGTTAAGTGCACATGGCGTATATTAATTTCATGTCTTGTAAATTACCGTGACGGTCTTGATGCGACCGCTGCCCCTGGTGCAGGTCCAGCCGGATCGGTTGAACAGGTAGCTGCAGACCTCCCCCTCCAGGCAGGGAGCCATCTCGCACCACTGACGACTCCGCACGATTCGCGCTGAGAGGGCGAAAGACAAGGGGGAAAAGAGGCACGTTACACTCGCACACCCACAGAGAAAGACATCAGATTGTCAACATTTTCTGTTTTATGGTCACCAGACAGGAAAGCATCTTCATATGTTGATGTGTCTACAAGCCTGTAGTATTTCAATTAGGATTTTGTTGAACCACCATGTCCGAATCGCCTGTGGTAGTAACCTTTACAGACCAGCTGGCGGCCCATAAATTACTCTCCTGTTAATGCTAGCGTTCACTGCAGTCAGATTGTTTCCTCCTTTTGACATTTTGTTAGACTTAATATTCTTCCTGAAAGCGTTTTTCTTTAGGTAATTCTAGGTAAAGTGTTCTAGTGTTGAAAGTAATTGTACTACTTTAAAGCATAACATTGTTAGATTTATTTTCCTGAAGTGACGGTGAGCAAATCGTTCTGAAACTTGCACTCAATGGACAATGCAGCAATGATGTTATGAAATGTTCCATTTTCCATTGTATTTTAATGTTGTCATTCCTATCTGCATTCTAAATTTTAAAAAAGAAAATATATCGTGTTACACACAACAATGTGGTGTGATTAAAGCTTCCTGTGATAAATCAGGATGCGCTTTGAAAATATCACAATAACACTATAAAGTGTTGTACATTGTATCTTATTTTCTGCTAATTCATATGCACAAATTATTAAAGCATAGCAGGAACATTTCAATGTGCAGATTAGAGAGGTGGATCACAGATTAGAAAGGCAACAAAACGCAAACAGGCTTTCTGTCTTCTTAAAAGTTATTTGTCTGCTGCAGACATCGGTCTGTCAGAGTGAGAGCCAGTGATGCTCTCCTTCTCCCTCTGCAGTCCTTCTGCATGACATTGAATTAGCATGCGCCTGTAGTCGATGCTGATAAGCTCTGATTGTTCTTTACACAGCGTGCTAAAGCAACACCGAAAGGTTATCGGCTCTCTGCGGACCTGGCCGAGGCCGCCGCTCCTGCCTCCACCCCACGGTCCCCCCCCCCCCCCCGGGCAGCACATTGTGGAACGAAGTAACATAGTCGACAAATTGAAAGAGACGAACCACAATTCGTTGAATGTCCACTGGAGAGCTGAGGGAGGGGGAGTGAGGAGGAGGAGGTGTGGAAAGGGAGGCCTTGTGGCATTTTGCTGTGAGGTATTTGTGGTCCAGGCCTTGTTAACACTCCGAAATTGCTCATACCCCGACTGCTGCTCTGCAATAAAGATCTGTCATCTTGTGGTATTTATTAAGCCACCCCTCATGTATGTAACTGCGTGCACACACACACACACACACACACACACACACCGCTCTGTAGATATAAAGCCTCTCAGCAAATAATAGATATTGTTGACACATTGGAGGAGAAGCCGTGTTTCTGCCCTCACAGTGCAGTCAGGCAGCAGTGGAACAAAACAATCCAGAAACCTGTCATCTCATTGCACCCAACAAGCTGATGTACTGTAAATATTAAAGAACAGAGACAAAATGGTCGATTCGGCTTCACCCTGAGCAGAGGTTCCTTGGCGAGCAGGGAAGAAAATCTAAAGTGACCTTCCTCTTGACACAGCAACACAATGTGGCAAAATTTTCATTTTCACAGCCATCCGTCAGGCGCAACAAAGCGCAGATTTATCAGTCAGTTGCAGATGTAGTTTTGAGTACATTACAGGGCCAGCAAAACTCAATTTCCAGGGGCACGGAATAAAAAGCTGAGCTGGCAAAGTGGCGGGAGTGCTGACTAACCGTGGAGTGCATCAGCCCAGCCAGCGAGAGGCTGGCTGAAATAAATGCTTTTTTCAACTCCACAGTATCCAGGCCCTCAGTAGCTCGCCCTTGTTACTTTTTCAATGCCATCCATGACAGTCTGACTTGATCTATGATGACTTGATGAATTTCCCCCATGCTGTAAACCGCGGAATGTTCCGTTACAGCGTTGGTTGGAATTAGTGTGTCGCCCGTGACAATTTCATCAACAGCGGCGTCACGAAAAAACATAAGCAACTACAAAACGGCAACGCTGCAGTTTAGCGTTCGGCCTGTCTCTTTCCATCAAACCTATCTATCCAATATGCTGGCACACGCAACTGGGGGAGCATTTAAAAAGCTTATATGGTACAACCACCCACACGCACATCAACGGTATCCCGAGCAGACTTTAAGCCTCGGAGCTGAAGCTGCCTGAAAAATATCTGTCTGCTGCTATTTTTCCATCTAACAGTATCTATTACATGCTGCTGTAATGCAAACGGCTGAGAATCATGCTGCTTATATTGTGATAGGTGTCTGTTTGGATATGATTTCAGGGCCTGTTTGCGATGGTGGCAGCGTGCAGCAGCAGAGGTGAACCAGCTGGCTGTGGGGGTTGGAAGAGAGAGAGAGAGAGAGAGAGAGAGAGAGAGAGAGAGAGAGAGAGA